GGGGACCAAAATGTGTTGCCTTCTCGCATGTTCGCTCCCAGTGCGCTTTGGGACCCTCAAAGTGGCCCTAAGATGGCCCCATAGCGGCCCACCGGGAAGCTCAAGCCGCTCGCATTACCGCCCAAGAGCGCCCCGAGAGGCGACTCCGATGGCTCTGAAAGGGCGGGACTGGCAGTGGACCAGCTTGCTATGACTGGTGCTCCTCAATATGCTCTCAAGAGCCTCACCAGGGCACCTAAAATCGGCTCAATCAAGAGACCCCTCACCAAGAGGGCTCCGAGATGGCTCCATGAGGGCTTTAGATGACGCAGGGTCGCGTCCAAGGCGGCACACTACATCCCCGGATGGCTCCAGACGGCATCCAAGACGACTTCGAAAAGTAACGGAGTCCCACCAGCCATTTGAAGGCGTAGGTGGTCTAGCGTCTAGCGCGTTTCCTCGTCCAGCCCCCTTATTCCCCTTCGCGCAGGTGTTTGCCATTCCCTCCTCCCCTTGGGTCTGGACGGGGCGCTCCGCGACCCGGTGGAGCGCCCAAGATGGCCCAATACGACCCCAAGAGGGCCCAATAACGCCCAAGTTAGCACAATATAGCTCAAGGTGGCGTCCACCATGCTCCAAAGAGCACCGGGACCTCTCCGAGACGGGTCCAAGTGGCCACGGGGCCTCCCAAGGACGCCCCCCCAAAGGTCAACAGCCTTGCAACACCTAGAAGTCAGCCAATGCTGCTCTGCCTTCTCGCCTTTGCGCCTGTGAAGGGCTCTGGAGGCTGCAAGACGGCTCCAAGAGGGCCCAGAACAAGAAGCGAGGAACATATCAAGGCCTCAAATTGGCCCGAATGACGCCCCAAGGGGCTTCAGAGGGAGGGCCCAGATTAAGACCCCCCTCTTCGCTCAAAACCCAACTTGTTAAGTAGATGTTTCTCCTTTCCCCCGAAGATGTCGGAGTCTCGGGGCCAGATCTGGGCCAGCATGGCTCCAATATGGCCTCAGCGAGCCCAATGCCCAAGACACCCCAAAGCGCCCCGAGTGGCTACGGAGACCCCTAAAGACGCTTACAAGTTGTCAACATTCTTCCACACCTAATGAGGGACCAATGATTACGGCCTTCTCGCGTTGCTTCAAATGTCCGTCCGACCCATACATATGGCGCCAACATGGACCAGTAGAAACCCAAGGAAAGGCCCAAGAGGGCCTGAAGGCAGCCCAAAGAGCGCCCCTAACAAGTGAGATTTATTTGGGTGGTAAGAGGGGCAGACGTAATTGAGGACCCCCCCCCTCGTTGATCGACGTTTTGCAAGATGGCCCCAATGCTCCCAATGTGGGCCACAAGACGGGGCCCACCTGTCAAGAGGCCCCCAGATCAACGCATCCGCGCATGCATGTAAGGCTGGTTCTTGGGCTCGGTTTGGCGGCTGCCCCCTGCCTGCTCCACGGCGTGCTCGCACAGTTCCCTGATCAATGCAACCCGTCGAGGTACCGTCGCTGGATGGGCTGGGGGGGTGCAATTACTTTTTTGGTCGCAGCCGCAGGCGAGAGCGCAGGCGGCGAGTCGTGAGTCCGGGGCGCGGGCCTCCGAATGAAAACAGGAGCAAGCTATAGCGACGTAACCGAAACAACTAGCTGCCTACCGCGGGTTTGCGTCGTGTCGACCCAGGCGATGGTTTTTGATACCGCGGGAATCGTTCACCCTTGAAGGATCGGCCGTTTCCGAAACGCCACATCGTTGAACATCGATCGATCCTGAGTCGCCCGCGGCGTTCAACGTTGAACTCCGCTGGCGGGGTCGCCGCCGGTCGACACGACACGAACCTACCGTAAGCGGGGGGCTACAATTGCGCGACGCGGCGTAACCTAAACGACTAGCTGCCTAAGCGGGGGACGTGTCGGCCCCCAATCGCCCACTGACTGCCGATGGGGGGCCCGATGGCCGCCAACCCGCCCAGGAGGGGTGCGGCCTCGCCATCGGGCGCCGGCCGCCGATCCACCGACGAGGCATCGCCGATTCCAGGGAGGAGGAGGAGGAGGAGGAGGAGGAGGCGGAGGAGGAGGAGGCGGAGGAGGAGGAGGAGGAGGAGGAGGAGGAGGCGGAGGAGGAGGAGGAGGAGGAGGCGGAGGAGGAGGCCCGGGCAAGAACCCTCGACCAGGAAAACGGCCGCGTGGACGCCGAACCCGATCGCGGCGAGGTCGGGCGCCGCGCCCCGTGCCTCGCGGAGGCGGCGCGCATGGCCTCCACCGCAGCGCGCGGCCGCGTGCGCCTCGGACCCGCCTCGAGGCCGCCGAGTGCCGCCAAGATGAGGTCCAGGGGATCGCCTCGCGCCGCCGTCGAGATTACCTGGCAATCTCGACGGCGATGCTAACCATCGCAATGCCGACGCCGCCGCCGAGATCACCTTTTTTCGGCAACGGTAACCATTGCCGAAAAACCGATGCTCTCCGCACCGGACTCGCAGCGCCGCCGCCGCCGTGCCGTTCCGCAAGCCTCAGGCGGCCTTTCCCGCCTTAGGGCCGTCGGCCAAGTCGTTGTCGAGGCAGTTGGCGTCCTCCTCCTCGGCGCCCCAAGTCTAGGGCACAGTGTGCACACATGTAGCAGGGGGGGGTCCCTCACGAAAGCCATCATTTAAGGTGCCATGCGGGGCTGCATGCAGCTCAACAGCAAGCACACTTCGGGAAGGAGTGTTACAAGACTCTCAGCAGTAGTCGCTACGATCACCCTGGTCGGATCTCTCGGGGTCTTTGAACTGGGGTCAAGAGCAAAACTAAACAGGCCGAAACGATAAGATCGGAAATCAGCTTCATCTTCCGACCTCGTCGATATGTCCAGGACTCCGTCCACGCCCTGCGCGGAGCCTCGCAGCCGCTGCAACCGCTCGCGCGCCAGGGCATCAGTCCAGCGTGCGCGCAGCCGCCGCTCCGGCGCCGCCGCCTTAGCCCTCCTTCGGAACCTCGCCGCCGTCGAGCACCGTCCCGCCTGGCGGGGGTCCCTGCCCGCCGCGCCCGCCGCGCCCTGGCGGCCGTTGGGCGCCGTCCGCTGGGCGCGGCGCGCGCGCAGCGTGCGCGCCGCCCTCCAAGCGAGGTCGGCGAAGGCTGCTCGAAACGGCGCCTCGGCCGCCCGAAGCAAGCGCACTCCGTCACGGGCACGGGGGGGGGGTAAATCCATCGCGGCCCTGCCTCGGCCTCCAGCCGCCGCTGGAAGCCGCGGGCGGGCAGGTCCGTGCGGGCGAGGCGGCCGAATCGGGTACAGGGCGTTGCGCGGCGCATCGACATGTGCCGGCACTGGGGATACTGGGGGTGGTGGTGATGATGGCGATCCTGGTGATGCGGATGATGATGATGATGATGCTGATGATGATGCTGCTGCTGATGATGATGCTGATGATGCGGATGCTGGTGATGATGATGATGATGATGATGATGATGATGATGATGATGATGATGATGATAAAGATGATGATGATGATGATGATGATGATGATGATGATGATGATGATGATGATGATGATGATGATGATGATGATGACGATGGTGATGGTGATGGTGACGGTGACGGTGCTGGTGATGATGCTGATGGAAGTGATCGTGAAGGTGATGATGATGAGGATGATCATGGTGGACTCGATGGCGATGGCGATCATGATGATGTCCTGGGTGATGGAGGCGGTGATGATGATCATGCTGTTCCTGCTGAACATCACGGACATTAATATGTGGGTACATGTGCCGGTGCTGCTGGTTCTGCTCATCGTGCTGCTGATACATTTGGCGATGCCGATAACGATGATGATGGTGGTTCCGATGATGCTGATTGGGGTGCATAGAATGGTCCATGCTGATTGCGGTGATGGTGGCGGTGGCGATGTTGACGATGAAGCATACGATGATGATTGCGGCGGTGACGATGATGGCGATACAAATGATGGTGGTGATGATGATCGTGATAACGGCAATGCTAGTGTCGCTGATGATTGATATGCTGATGGGGAGCAGAAGAAGCAAAAGGGGCACGCCCCACAGGAACGAGGACGAGCACACAGGTGTCTCGAACGAAACCAGGAACCTGGCGCGGGGAGGCGGGGCGGGGGAGCGCAACCGCTGCGGGGCGCCGCAAGTGCCTCGAACTCGTCGGGAACCCGGCGCCCAGAATGGGGGCCCAGAGGCGATCCGGAGCACAGAGCTCAAAGGCACCACGTGCCGCTTGCATGTGTGTGCTGCCGCGCTCTGCTCCCCATGCCAAAAGAGCGGCCGCCGACGGGCCGACGGATCGGTCGAGGGACCGCACGAAGAGCTCAGCATGGGAAACAGCGGCAGGGGCGCGGCGGGGCGGCGGGGCGGCGGGCGGTCCGCGGGCCCGCGAGAAGGGCAACAAGCCGTCTCTATTTCTCTATTTCTTCGTTTCTCTCTCTCTCTCTCTCTTCCTCTCTCTCTCTTCCTCTCTCTCTCTCTCTCTCCCACCAGCCGCGAGAGAGCAGGAAAAAAAACGGGGGCGAGGACGAAAGAGAGAGGAACAGCAAGCACCAGGCACAGAAAGGGGGGACACAAGCGACAGCCACAAGCGGGGGAAGGAGAGCTGCAGGAGGAGCAGGCCGAGGGAACCGCGGAGAGCAGCAAACCGAAGACGAGGGAAACGAGACCGACGGCGGCGTCGGGACGAACCGACGGCGGGACGACAGAGGAGAACAGGCAGCACATGCGACGAAAGAGAAGGAATGCGGGCCAATGCTAGCGTCCAGGCCATGGTTGACCCTCAATTAGCCAAAACACCACGTCCAGCTTTGAAACATGCTGACCCTCAGCGGCGAAAAGACATTCGGACAATTAGTCCGCCAACAACGAAAGGCCCACGAGGGTCGCAAACACTGTCAGTACAATGCAAGAGCAGGGTCTCCGGGGGGGGTGGGGGGCAGGGGGCCACCGGAAACCGGAGGGGCACAAGGGCGGGGGCTCTCGCGACCTCACTCAGGAGGGGCAGGAGGCACAGGCGGAGGGGGTGGGGGGGGGACCTCGTCGGGCGGCGGCAACAAGACGGAGCGACTGAAACTCTTCCGACAATTTGGGGTGACGGCGCAACCGCTACCTGAGCCGCGCAGTGACCGAGAAGTCCCCAGAGACCTGGGGGCCCGTCCGTCAGGCACTGTGGTCCTCCAGAAAACCATCAAGCAAAGCGCGCCCCGCCAGGTCCCGAGACCTCCCCACCCGTTGCCCGCGGAGCGGAACCAATTGTTCACGGATGGCTTTGACCCGCTTCATGGTTTTGTGGCTGACGCTGCTTCCTGGGAGTGGCACTGAGAGTGGGAGCGGTGATGTTACTCGCTTCGTCCACCGCCGACCTGATCCAAGACTGCGCCCACCAAGCCCAGCTTGTCCGCACAGGGATAAACTCATCGTCTTTCAGCGAAACCGTTTACGCCTCCGAGCGGTCATCCAGAACTTCGGGGTCGCATGGCTCCGAACGTTCGATGGAGCACCAGGCCCCGGCCAGGGACCAATATACCTACCACAGGAACAAAACCAATGGCATGGGCAAAGCGATTCATCCTCCGCGACTGGTCCGCGAGCTGATCAGGCTGCAGCGCCCCAGTTACTAGCGCCGCGTACCTATGGAGGTTCCATCGCAAGCAAACGGCCCTCCCAGGAGAGAGTAGCACGCGCGAGGTAGTTCGGAGACCAGAGAGGATCCTGGGGGGCAGAAATGAAGATCACCTGGAACAGCGGAGCGGCGCAAGAGGAGGCGGGCCTCGGCTGGCCGCGGCGAGGCGGGAGCATGCAGACCCGAGGAGCGGGTCAGGGTGGGGGGGGGGCGCCAGACAGAGCGGGTCGCGCAAACAACCCTGAGCCCATACGGCTCGATCCAACATGGCCTGAGCAAAAACGGCTACGGAGGAGGAGGAGGAGGAGGAAAAACAGGAGCAAGAGAAGGAACACCATCAGACCCTTCTCACCTGTGCGCGCCCCACACCGCCCAGGCCCCCGCAAGCTCTGCACCTCCACCCTGCGCCAAGGGATCGCGCGCGCGTGAACAACGCTCCACTAACAGATGCTGCCATCCCCCCCAACTGCGATTGCCGAATTGAAGGGAAACGAACTAGTTATTTCGTAAAAAGGTGCTGCGACACCGAAAAAAACGACACGTGGAACAGAGGGGGGTTCCCCCCCCCAGAGGGGGCGGGGTGGCTAATAGTCCACCTGCAACCCGTTGGGTGGGGTGGGGTGGGGAGGGGGGGACGACACAACGGCGACGACGGCGGACTGCGACTACGAGCTCACATTAAGCGGGGACGCTAGGAGAAGGGAGGCGCTGTGTTGGGTCCAAAGGGCGCGGGCAGTGGGGCGGTTGGCGGTGGCTACAGGCGGCTGGTGTCCACGTCCGCTCGTGACCATCGCCATGGGCAGCAAATGACGAGGCCGTCTCGCCCCACCCGCCCACCCTGAAGATGATCCCCTCTCTCCTTCCACAAGGGCTCGGGAAGTGAAGGCTGGTGGGGAGGGAACTGGGCGGCTCTACTGGCTCCTTTTCCTCCTCCTCCACCTCCTCCTCCTCCTCCTTGTTTTCCTCCTGCCTCCCTCGGTCCCGCCCCTCCCCCCTGCCCTGGCATCTAAACTCCACCGCCCCCCTACCCGTCCCCGCACTAGTCGGGTCCTCCCCGCCCTCCCTGCCAGCGACGCCCTGGTTACCGCGGGCCTTCCACATGACAGCCTACTCCCGCTCAGCACCAGGCTCGTCGACCGTCCTGCTCTTCCGTTGCCTCTCTGCCCCGCGTGCTCCCTGTCATTCCCGCCCTCCCCCTCTCCAGGAGGAGCAGGAGGAGGAGGAGGAGGAGGAGAATAATGAGGAGGAAGAGGAGGAGGAGGAGGAGGAGGAGGAGAAGGAGGAGAATAAGACCCTCCCCTCAACACACCCACTGCTTCTGTCACTGCCCTTTCCGCTCCCCCCCTTGCGGAATGGAGCCGCTGTAAGGCAGCAAGGGCGGCGGGTCAGGTCGGGGCACCGCAGGGCATGGTCAGGAGCGGTGCGGCTCGGGGACACGGGGCAAGGCTGAAGGAACGCAGAACGACAGCCAGCGTTGGCCCAAGGCAGTGGATTCCAGCAGGCGCTGCAGCCTACGCAATGCAATCTACGCGGTGCAGTCGATACCGTTCCTAGAAGTGCGGGGCAGTCTCAGCAGTGCACTCGATACTGTGCTGTGCAACCCCAAATCGCACAAGTTTGGTTGCGCCATGCTAATATATGCAATTGTATGGCCTTCTGTGCTGTGCGATGCTATGCTATACTATGCTATGCAAACAATGAAGTTATGATATGCAACGCACTGCTGCAACAACCTCTGCTACGCTGTGTTATGCTATGCGAACGGATGAGCGCGAGTGGACGAAGTGCGACTGGAGGAATGCAACGGACGGCGGCGACGAACGGTGGCGACGGGAGGCGACGAGCTGGCTGGACCGGCACCGGGACCCAGTTACCATAGAAGATAAGTAAGAAGCCCTTCGTGCAAGCACTGCTTGGGGGAAAAATATCTGAGAAAAGAACACCCTTTTACTCCCCCTTTAGAACAAACAACGATGTCGTGAAAACTGCCGTCCAGAGCCCTCGACTCAATATTTCTGCGGCTTCTTTTGAGGTGGATCGACCCAGGAAGGTCCCGAGGCCAGGAAGAGGGAACGAAAATTGGACGCCCGAGTTATCCGGGGTAACTCGGGTCCGGGGTAACTCGGGTTTGAGTTCCCGAAAAACGAACCCGAGTTATCCCTGACCCGAGTTACCCCTGATGATTCGGGGCTCTGGACGCCCGAAATATCCGGGGTAACGCGGGTCCGGGGTAACTCGGGCTTGAGTTCCCGAAAAACGAACCCGAGTTATCCCTGACCCGAGTTACCCCTGATGATTCGGGGCTCTGAGAAAACGTTCGCAACCCCAGGGACGCAGGCGCGACGGCGTCAGGCAAGGCCGCCGAGCCCCAGACCACGCACGCCGCCGCCGCGCAGAAGTACGGCAGAGCCGCGGCGTGCCGGGCGTCGGAGGGCAGCTCCAGGAGGCTGGGCGCAAACGGCTGGCCTGCCCTCCGGCTCACCACAAACACTTCCTCCCTCGTCCAAGACGAGGCCAGGACGAGGACGACATTGGGTGAGTTCGCTCTGGGATGCCTGAGGGCCAGCGGCCCTGGAGGCTGCCTCGGGCGCCGCGGCCTTCTTGGGGAACGGATCTATTCTCGTCCTAGCCCTATCCGAGCAATCCTCTTCTGTTCCCTTCACGGCAACATGCTCTGCGCAGCCGATGGGCGAGGACAGTGGGCCAGAACACTGGGGACGGGGTGTTCACCAGAAGAACGGCGAGTGCCCCACGCCGAAGCCCACCGCCAGCACTCCCTGGTCACGAAATTGTTTGCGCACTCGCGGCCGCCCAGCTGTAATGGGCAGCTCCCCAGCTGGGCTGCGAAGCGCGGCTGTCTTCGCGCCGCTGTGAGCGACCGAGGACACCCTGAACGAAGCGGCGGCGGGTGCCGCAGAAACCAGCAGCGCAAACAACGACGTATCAGAGAGGCTTCTCGGAGAGGTGCAGGGGAGGTGTTTGTTGCGTCTTCGTCGACGCCGACGCCCGTCCTGCCCTCTCCAATAACGTTTCGTACTTGCTTGTTGTGTTGCCCTGCCCCATGTCTCCATCACTAAGCCTGCCTGTTGGAATTCGCGTGGATCGGCAGGTTTTAAATGACTGCGGGCGCTTGCTCAGCACCCTTGCCCAGGGATGCTGCCCCATGCGCCACAGGGCAACCCTTGCTGAGCTTGCTTGCCTCTCGACGTCGGACAATGCAGGTCAGACAGGCGAGACCCCAACCGCTCGATGCCCGTGATGCCAAACATTGCGAATCGAAGCCAGCTATGGCATCCAGACCCACATGCCCTATTCCACAAGCCTGACGCGAAAGCTATGGCGACCCCTCTAACCAGCAACCGCCCCCCGTAAACCCATGTGATGTCACGTAACTTGATGTTGCTCAAGCAGGCCCGTCAAGGGCGCCTTTTTCGACATAGGTCCCGTTCCGCTTGCCGCAAACATACTTGCTATACTGATGCTGGTCCTCCGCTCTCTGGCCCCACGAGCTTCCCTGGGCGCTGGGCAACCTGGCGTCGATAGGGCCCACGGCGTCCAGAGTAACGTGTCAGGGATGGAACGAGCTTCGAAACTTTTGAACGGCCTGTCGCTCCGAAATGTATCCGAACCATTGAACGGCATGTTGTGGTCGGAAACTTGTTCCAAACCGTCAGCAAGGCGGCGTCGGAGAGACCAACGCAGCCGCTGGCACCACTGGGCACAGCAGCGCCATCAGACCTGGGCTCCGCATAACGAACGTGATAAGAGCATCTACCGCTTGGTAGTTTGCCGGCCTTACTTGCGCCAGGACGACTTGACGTGCGATGGCCAAGAAAGCTGGGCCTGCGTGTCTTGTCAAATGCTCTCGTCACATATCTCCCGCCAAGGTGCCCCCCAGACGCCCCCAAGAGACCAGGACACCCCCCCAACAGGCCCCTAGAGGGGGCTCCAGGGACCAATTGTGAGATGACCTTCCCGCAGCAGCAGAGGATGGTGAACGACCGCAGAGGAGCTCCATTTGGGCGCACGAAAAAGGCATCAAACAAAAACTGCCAACGGGCATGCCGGAACAACAAGGTCTGCCGAAGTGTAACGAGCAAGGGTTGGACATGACCCAGACACATGGCGCTTTGACCTTTTCGACGCGTGTGCCCCATCCCTTCAAATTATTGCTCTCTCAAATTCGTTCAAAGGCCTTCAGCTACGGAACTCCAGAGCGGGAGTGCTTCATTCATGGGCCAGAAAAATGAACAACGCGATTGAATTCGGCGGGCCCCTTGCAGGCCCTCGCCATTTTACCCGTCTGCGATGGGTGATGACATGGTGGATTCGATGGAGGAGAGAAACATGCTTAAGGCATGCTAAAAGGGGCTTCGCCCATTCCGTTGGCCCACGCTGGCCAAGTACAAGTGAAACGTGCTTTCAGCGCGAGGCCCACGCGAGAGACCGCTCCTGGGACACGTAAAGGCACTAGTGAGATGCGCCCTCAGGGCTGCGAAAGCGTCTTTTCGGCGCACCCCTCACGCAGTTCCTGCACCCCCAGGTCTCTCCGACACGTAAAACTTAAAGGGATTCGTGGAACAATTTTCCTGGGAGCCTCAAGTCGGCCAACCCCTCACGCACTTCGTGCATCATGGGTGCTCGGCTGGCCCCACACACGGCTCCTTAGGGCTTCAATTCGGCACTCCCATTCAACATTTCGACCCAGGGACCTCCAGGGGCGATCCCCTGCTCCTCACGCACTTCGTGCCTCTTGGAATCCCAGGGGCCCTCAGCTGGCCTCTCAGACGGTTCAGGGGAGCTTCGGTTCGGCACACCACTCACGCACCTCGTGGCTCACGGACCTCCAAACGCCCTCTGTTGGCTCCGAAGACCGCCTGCCCCCCTGACCGCGGCGATGGCTCCGAAGACCGGGACGCACAGATGGCCCTGAGCAAAAATTTGCAAGGAGTGGCACCGACCCTCGTCGAGGCCGTACCCCGAACACCCACCGATTGCAACACGTGCGTGCGAACTTCTCCCCTGGGGGCCCGCCATGTCTCCCGCTCTGCGGGCTCGGTCCCGCGGCCCCCCTGCGGGCTCTCGCCGCGTCCGGCTTCGAGGATCGACGATGAGATGCTGATGAGGTGGGGAAGAGAGGGAGCAGCATGCATAAGGCATGCTAAGAAGGGCTTTGCCCAATCCGCCGGCCGCTGATGAATCCGGTTTCCCCCGATTCTCCTGGGGAGACGTAAGAATGCGAGTGCTACGTGCTCCCAGCGCGAGTCCCACGCTATGAGACGTGCCCCGATGGCCTCACATGGCTGGTTCGCTCGGGACTTACTCCGCTCGGGACATCCTCAACAACCCGGCTTCGGAGAGGACTCTGAATGTCAAAAAAACAGTTTTGCTGGTGACATCCTCAACAGATAAGCCTCGGAGGGGACTCCGAGTCTCAATCGTGACAGCTTCGCTCGAGACAACATCGACAAGCTGCCTCGGAGGGCGCTTTGAACATTACCGCCCCGCGGGACGCCACCATGGCCCCAAGGATTGGGACGCCAACATTGGCCCCGATGAGTGCAACATGTGCGTGCGAGCTTCCCCCCCGGGGGGGGGCCCGCCGTGCCTCCCGCTCTGCGAGCTCGGTTCGGCGGGCCTCGCCGGCTTCGGCTTCGACGGTGGATGACGAGATGAAGATGATTCAGGAGGGAAAGAAACACACAGACACAATGAATCGTCGATTCTTTAGAAAATATAGGAAAATATGGGAAGTGGGGGGGAAGACAAAAACCTAGAAGATATGGGAAAATATGAAGATTCGGGGGAGCGTAAGACCCGGGTTTGCCGGGCCTCGGGTTCGCCATCGTTTTTTGACGACCGCGACTCGGATTTTGACGAGGAGGAGTTTCGCGGGATGTCTGCAGCGGGAGGCCTCGTCAAAATGCAGGCTCGGCCTCGTCATTTTTTTGACGACCTCGTCGGGGATTTCCGAGTCCACTGTACCCGGGTCTTACGTCTCCCCGAAAGATGATGGAGGAGAGTGGAACGCATGCAGACGGGCATACTGGGAGCGGCCTGGACCATTCCGCTGGCCCGAAGATGCCACTTTCCCCGGACTCTCCTGGGGCACGTGCAATGCGAATGGAATGCGCTCCCAGGACCACGGCGGCCTCAGCTTCGCACACCCCCACGCATGGCCTGCTCCCTCTGAGCCGTGAAAAAACAGGAGGGGTTCGCAGCTCAATTCTCCTAGGAGCCTTCATTCGGCACACCCCTCACAAACTTCGTGCCCCATGGTTGTGCAGCTAGCCCCAACACACAGCTCCTTGGGGCCTCAATTCGGTACAACCCTTACGGATTTCGTGCCCCATGGGCCTCTATGGGCGGACCGCTGGCCCGCAAGACGGCTGAAGAGCCTCAAGTCGGCATACTCCTCACGCACTTCGTGCCGGCCCTCCTCAACTCCTGAGACAGTTCAAGGGAGCTTTGGATCGGCGCACCCATCACGCACTTCGTGGCCCACGGACCCTCAAACGCCCCCTTGCTGGCCCCTAAGCCGAAGACCGCCTGGCACCCAAGGGACGCCAACAAGTCCTGAGAACGAAATCCGTCGACCCTGTCGACCTGTGGAGAGGCTGCTCCGTTTAACTCGTCGTCGTCGTCGTTGTCGTGGTCGTTGTCGTCGTCGTCGTCGTCGTCGCCATCGCCGCTCCCCTTCTCCTTTCCCTAGGCCCGTTGTAGTTGAACCGAAGGGAAGCCCCTTCCCTTTGATGCCTTCCTCGCCGGGGGGGGGTCGGGGGGGGGGGGTCCTGGGGGGGTCCCGGGGGGGGATCGCCACCCAGATACGACTCCCCCCCAGGGAGGGTCGCCACTCAGATACGACTCCCCCCTGGGCGGTTCGTGAGCCCAGAAAGCCACAAGAACGCTACAGAGCCCCAAGATGCCCCTAAGACGGTGGTCGAGGGTCCCGAATCGCCGAAGTATCGGTCCAAGTCGCCAAAGTAGCCCAGATGGCTCAAAAGGTTTCCAAAACGCCCCAACAGGCCTCCAAGAGGACTTCCAAGAGGGCCCCGAGGGGCAAACATGATCGAGACCCCTTAGGTTTTTGAAAGGTTTCGGCATTCTCGGCTTCTCAGCTTCCCGACGCTCATAGACAGGCCAAGAGGCCCACAAGACCGCCCCATCATGGCCCAAGTGGCCTCCAAGAGGCCTCCAACACAGCCGAAGAGGCCCCCAAGACGGCTCCAAGAGGGAGCCCAGACGAGGGACCCGAATGGTCATTTCGAGCCCTCGGCCTGAGAAGCTCCCAGGAGGCCCCAGAGGCCCCTAAGAAGCCCCCCAAGAGGCCCCGAGAGGCCCCCAAGAGACCCCCAGGAAGCCCCAGGAAGGCCCCACGAGGCTCCCAAGCGGCCCCCAAGAGCCACCAAACTACCCCCAAGAGGCACCCGAGAGCGCTCGTCGTCGTCGTCGTCGTCGTCGTCGTCGTCGTCGTCGTCGTCGTCGTCGTCGTCGTCGTCGTCGTCGTCGTCGTCGTCGTCGTCGTCGGCGGCGTCGTCGTCGTCGTCGTCGTCGTCGTCGTCGTCATCGTCGCCATTCAGGGTTGGCGGCGCTGGCGCCGTAAGGCCTTCGCAATACCAAGGAGTGGCCCTGACCCTCGTCGAAGCCATACCCCGAAGACCCACTGTTTGCAAACTCCGCGTGCGAATTTCCCTGTGGGGGCCCGCCGTGACTCCCGCTTCGCGGGCCGGATGGCTGCTCACCCACCAGCACGCTCTCGGCCGTGCTCGGCGGCTGGCACGGCAGAGCTGGGGCCCGGTCCCCTCAAGGTTCCTCTTTCGGTTGCATGTCACGTTCCGACAAGTTCCGCCACGATGCCCCCTGGCACAATGAGGCGTGGTTGAATGCCACATGCTGTCTGGTCTGGTGTCTGTGCGGTCGTACCTAGGCCAGAAGAACATCCTTCAAGAACATTAGACCCTCCGTCGGCCAAAACACACTGAATATCCAAGGGTACCCTCCCCAGGATGCACAAGAACATCTATCAGACACGAAGACCAGTAGGGTGCCCTCCCAGAACCGACTTCGATCCTACCCCTCGGTCCGACCGTAACATTACGTTTCACTGCCTGCATCTCCCCTCTCTCCCGCGGATCTTGGGGCGGCCCAGCGCGTCTCTGGGGCTATCCTAATCTCTCGGAAGCTTCCAAGACGGCCCAGGATGGCCGCCTAGGGCGACAAGATGATTCAACATTGCTTCCAAAGGTACCCAGCCAGTCTTCAGAGGCGCCCAACCAGTCCCCAGAAGCTTAGAAGAGGCATCAAGACACATCAAGGCGATCGCCAGGAGGGCATCTGGAGGCCAACTGCATTACCTGCCATCGGGCTTCTCAACATGTTTCGCTTCCTGCGATCTTCAGTCGAAGATCCGTCCACTTGCGGACTCCGAGGGCTTACTGGGCCCTACTATGAGACCGACGGTGGCCCCTAGTCGGCTCATGACGTTCCTAAGAGACCCCCAGACGAGCAAGGGAGCCCCAACACGACTGAATAGGGCCCAAATGCGGAGCAAGAAGGCTTCAAAACCGTCCCAAGGGATCCCTAAGACTGCTGCAAAGGAACTCCATTCAGCCCCAAGTCGGCCCTCGTACTTCCCATCAGAGGTGTCATTTGTGACGGCTGTCTGGGCGCTGCTCGAATGGCTGCCACACAGAATGCGTCGCTGCCGGGTTTGCCGCAGGCACCTGGATACTGCCGATGCGTCCGCAACTTCCCCTCTCAGGACCAACCTGTTCAAGAGACCGTTGCTGAGCGGACGGATCTTTCCTGAGCAGGACAGCCGTTGGGCCCTGCATGCGCTCAACAGGCGGCTTGACCCTTCCCCGACATTTGCACTCGGCCCCCGCTCCGGCCGCGGTATTCGCAGGCCACGTGGCATATCCTCGGATGGGGAACGGCTACGTCCGTGGCGGAAGGGGGATGGGAGAGGCACGGCAGGGGAGCGGAGGTAGGGCAGACGGGGCAGGCAGATGGGCTCCAACAGTCTGGACACATCCAGCACCACGTGGTCAACAGCATGCCCACGCGTCTTGTCCCTGGGAGTGGAACCCACACAGCTTGCCACGCTCCAGCGACGCCAACTAAGAAGTTTACAATGCCCTTTTGGCCGTACACGCCATCAAATATCGGTATTCGGATCAACGCGGCGGACAACGAGCAGACACGTCAATGCATGACACGTATCAGCGCACTCAAGGCGGACCAGCTGCACTGGCAGATGCCGACGTTGTATTTCCCAGCTTCGGTTGCCAACGACATTGGCCATCGAGCGCGGACGCATGCACTCTCATATTCGAACACGGACCACCACGAACGAACGCGATGAGAATCAAGCCACCTCACTCACACATGTATGACTGGCGTTGGACGACGTTTCCGAGTGCAAGTGCACTTCGGATATTGCAGCAAACGCGTACGCAGTTAGCGACTTGGCTGCGAAGGGACGCACCTGAACGCGAATATCAGGGAGGGCATGGAGAAGGCAGGGAGACGGGGCAGGGATGGGGATGAAGGGGGCAGGGAGGGAAAGAAGGTGGGAAGAACTGAGGGCAACGACCTCGGACGGAAAGGCGGGAACGAGGGAGCGGAGGGAGCAGGGGGGAGAGAGGGGGGCTGGAGTCGAAGTAAGCGAGCTCGCGCCATATCTGACATCCTACCCATCCCGCCCATCGCATCTCATTGATACGCTGAATTCTTTTCTATCCGTTGGCCGGGGTATCCTGCAGGACCTTGGTTCCCCAAGCGATCCCCTCGTGCATAGGGGCCAGGAGCAGGGGAAGGCGGAGGAGGGGAAAGGAGTTGGACGGCAACGACGAGGAATGAGTCGGATCCGAAATTGTGGACCTCGCTGCGGCGAGATCGCCATTCTGAATTGTGGACCTCGCTGCGACTGGAGCAGAGCACCAACCCGCAAATGTGGCCCGCACCGTAGCGGAAATACCATCCCCGAAGGTCCGAGAACGTTCCGATCGAACGAGCAGCGCAACCACGTCGTGTAATCCAGTTTGAAAACTGCGCGGGGGAGGCGGCGGCAACACTGGTCAATATCAGGGGAGAGAGGACAGTGGTATCAGCTACATGTATCGGGCCGGGCGAAAGGGGGGGATAGCAAAGGGGGGGTTGAGAATCAGCTTGCGTAGCTGATTTTCCCTTCGGTGTGGCCGAAACCAGCTGCATGAAGCAGATTTCGTAACCCCCTCCTACGTGCCGCCGATAGTTCAACTACACACAAGAGTGACCCTGGGTAAGAGAGACCTTTAGTGCGCGGCTTCTTGGGGACCGGGGGGGACCAAACACGGGCGCGCAAGACGCTACTGTCGCATCGCGTTCGGCGACCGGGGAACCCCATTGGGCCCGCACCAAAGGTCACTCCGGCGAAAGGTCACTCTTACGCCTAGCCCAGTAGTACTCCCCGACCAGCGCTTGCACACAGGGGTCCGGCGAGGATGCTCCACGTTGCCGCCCGTTGCTGCCCCGTTACCGCCTCGTGCGCTGGGTGGGTCCGGCACAGTTTCGCGCAGTCTGCCGCCGCGTTGACGCCTGGCACGGCGAGGTCAGCAACTAGAGGAGGAAGAGGAGGAGGAAGAGGAGGAGAGGGAACAGGAACTAGAGGAGGAGGAGGAAGAGGAGGAGAAGGAGAGGAGGAAGAGGAGGAGAGGGAGGAGGAGGAGGAGGAGGAGGAGGAGGAGGAGGAGGAGGAGGAGGGGAGGAGGAGGAGGAGGAGGGGAGGGAACCGCAGTGTTCGTCTTGACTCGGCTATCGTGGAGCGGCGCGTGAGGGGGAAGGGAGCGCGCGCAGCACGCCGATCGGCAGTTCGCTGGAGGAGGAGAAGAGAAGGAGGGGGGAGGAGGAGGAGGAGGAGGAGGAGGAAGATTGGAGAGGAAGAGGGAGGAGGAGGAGGAGGAGGAGGAGGAGGAGGAGGAGGAGGAGGAGGAGGAGGAGGAGAAGAGAGTGGAGGAGGAGGAGGAGGAGGAGGAGGAGGAGGAGGAAAAAAAGGAGGAGGAGGAGAAAAAGAGAGTGGAGGAGGAGAAGAGAGTGGAGGAGGAGGAGGAGGAGGAGGAGGAGGAGGAGGAGGAGGAGGAGGGGGAAGAGGAGGACAGCACGGGAGGTTGGCTAGCCTCCCGGGCTCGGGCGGCGCCTGCAAAGCCCGAACACATGTGATACGAGAATGTCAGGCTGGCGGCATGGACAGGGAGGAAACGAAGGGGCCAAGACCTGTGGCACCACGACGACATCACGACCGCATTCTTCAAGCATGTGCCCGGAGGTCCGTTTCGGTCCCTTAGGCCACCTGACACCGCTTCGGATGAAGAGCTTGTTCCTTGGATGGGACCGAGAAAGGTCCAGGAGCCAATGCCACGAGAAAGGCATGACTCCGGATCCCTGGGGGTGGCCGAGAAAGTCAGGGACGCAGCGAGGGAAAATGAGTGAGCAGAGATGGGGAGGGTTCGGCGTGGCTAGAGAAGGCACAACAGGGAACGTCTCTGCAGCAACATGAGCCAGCGTTAACGCTTGCCCCTTGAACTCTCAGTAAGTGCCGTCAGCTAACGGTTGTTCTCCTCCTCGTCCTCCTCAACCTGGATCGTTCTCGTCCTCGTCCTCGTCGTCCCTCCCTGCCCTGCTGCTGTTCTTCCTGCCCCGCCTTGAATCCTTTGATCGGTCATTGAGACTTTGCAGTATATATATATATATATATACACTCCTCATCCTCGTCCTCCTCCTGCGCTTCCTACTCCTCCTCCTCCTCCTCCTCCTCCTCCTCCTCCTCCTCCTCCTCCTCCTCCTCCTCCTCCTCCTCCTCCTCCCTCTCCTCACTCTCATCCTCCTTATCCTCGTCCTCTTCAACCTCCCCCTTTCCCCCCCTTTGCCAGTGCTCCTCCTCCTTCCTGCAGCCGCGTGGCTGGTCAAGTGGGGGGAAGCGCCTCGGCTTGCAGTCCCTGTCCGTGGAGATGCTACGCGCCCTCCTCAAGCGGCCCATGCGAGGACGCTGGAGGCAGGCCCACCAGACGATGGTGCGGATGTGCCTGGCCGCAGCTGCGCCTGTACAAGAAGGGCGCGGTGGACGACGACACGTGCAAGGCCTGCCACGGAGGCCGAGGGACCGACCGCCATCGGATGTTTGAGGGCCCCGCGCGCGACAACCACCGCCGAGAGATGGGTGGACTCGACATCGCGCACAGGGGCGCCAACCCGTTGCCAGGAACCAGGCAGCTATGGGGCAGTGGGCTCGCAAACTACACAGCGGGGGAGCTGGGCGTGTGGGACCTGCCATCAAAGGACGCCCTCGAGATGCATGGAGAGTTCGAGGGCATCGTGACGTGAGACGAGACGTGACACGGACGGCAGCTTGCTGTACCGGAGCTACCCGGCGCTACGATGTGGAAGATGGGCATTCGTTCAGCTTACGTCCGACATGCAGTTGCGCTACGCAAGGGCCCCAGCCTGGGGCGCAGTGGAAGCAGGCCGTCTTCAGGCGATGCAGAGGGTGCTCGAGGCGATGAAGAGGGTGCTTGAGGCGGCCCCCCGCCAGTGTCGATCTGGACCGAGTGCCAGGGCGTCCTCGACGGCTTCGACAGAGGCCCCGCCTGCGTCGATGTGCCGTCCACGAGGCACCCCGACGTTTGGAACCGCTGCTGGGCCCTGATCGCCGAAAATGGTGGCATAGGCCCTAGAGCGGTTCGATTTCAAGAAAGTGGCAGCACACGCCACATCGGCCTAGCACAGTTTGCAGTTACTAACTTCGTTGACCAGTATGTCAAGCTAGGAACGAAGCAGCGCGAGCGTGTATAATGGCATCGCGGGACGTATATCCAACGATACAAGCTCGTGTCGGATGTGTTCGACTTTGCGGCCTGGCCCGGGTCTTCGGCCAGGCCAGGGGCTGATCGCCACCTCCGAAGGTTCGGAACTCCGAGCCCGTCGCCTGCGACCCCCACCCCCGCCGCCTAGTGGAGAAGTGGAGGCGCCTGATGGACCTCTAGTCGCGGTTGCGACTCTCTCTGTCCACACACGGTTTCAAAGACCGGGAAGCTTCCGAGGATGGCCCCCAGGACACCAAGACTAAACACCTATCCACCTGTGTTTGGTATACCTACCGTGTCGACGGCAGAATACTACTCGTGGACGCCAAACGACGTGGTATCCTCGATTCGACCTCCGTGCGCGTCGAGGACGCCCCTGCTAGGGAGGTCGCCATGTGGGTGCTGTGAAGACTGTTGTTTTGAGACTCCCCTCACCGCCCAGGATAGGCCTGGGGGTGGTCGTTCTCCACGTCTTCGTCGGCCCTGGAGTCGTGCCCACTGCAGGGTTGATCCTGTCAGTCGGGTCCCCGTCGGATGCTCCTTGCTGCACGTCCTGCGCTTGTTCCTGGTTCCCCCGCCCCCACCAGCGAACCCCCTGGACCACATCTCGCCACGTCCGCACGCAGAGAGGATGACAAGGAGAAGCGGAGCATCCTTGGAATTTCCTGGCGCCCGCGAAAAATGGTGGGGGAGAGACCGGCGAGGAGGAAGAGGGGCCGATGTAACCATGATGCCTGTCCACACTCACGCCCCGCCCGCCGCGGCAAGGAGGACGGCAGGCAGTTCTTCCTCCTGGAGTGCACTCCCACACCCTCCACATGGCAGCGTCGCCACGGAGGGCGGAGTCGACCGCTGGCAGCTCGCCATGGGGGGGACGGCGCCTCGGCCATGGTGCACGGCACAAAGAGCGTGCCACAGGAAGATTTCAGCGCACCCGCGGAGGCGGCGGCGGGCGAAGCCCCAGGACGGCCAGAAGGAGATGGCGGACGTCGCGGGGGAGCGAGGAGAACAGACAGGGCACACCTCAACAGACTCAGAGGGGCCAGGTGAAGAGACCCCCCCGGAACCCGAGCAGCTACCATGAGGCTGAGAGGCTGGGGCCCTTGAAGAAGAGACCCCACCCTCTTCGATGCCCCAACAAACGACTCTAAAACGGAACAAGAGAGCATTGAGCATGTTATCAGTCCATGGGAAATCGTGCAGTTATGTGGATGGGCGATGCTCGGGCGTAGCTCGTCGGCTTTCCCTGGGTAAAGGCCTTGGCTTTGTGGCACATGAGATATACCATCGCGGTCCCTCAAGGCATTCGAGCCGCGACAGTTCTGAACCCTCAACCCCGTGCCCCACCTCAGGCCCAAACCCTAACCATATGGTCGGCTCTGACGGAAAGCCGCGCCGCCTCCACGCAGCACGCATAGCCATGTGATGACGCATTCGAGGGCAGCGGGGATAATGGGAGATCTCGCCTGGTGCCGAGCATCCCCCACGCGCGATGGTATTTCTAGATGCCTACGTGCACGCGGTGCGAGGGGGCCCATGCACCCGTAAGTGTCGTAAGTACGCTTCACCGCCAGCTGGGCTTCAGTGTATGCAAGGCCTTCGCACGCAGAGCCCGTCGCCCCTCCGCCAACCGCAGCCCACCACCAGGATAGGTGCCCCGTAAACTTCACCTTCGCAAAAGACAGGATGCAAACGTGTGAGGGCGGCGCGCGGACCAAGAAATCTAGAACATGCCCGCTGTGAGTGTGGCTTCTTGCCGTCGCCTACTGGTTGGCCAGTGGGTTCCCTCGCTCCATTGACCGCTGCGAACCACTTAATTATCAGGTCGCGCGAACCGAAGCGGCGGTCGATACGCGCGCTCAAGATGCGGAGCACTGGAGAATGGCCGCTTTCAGCATGCGGCCCAGCACACTTGCGGCATGGCGTCCTACGAGTTGCCCGAAGGATTGCAATGCTGAGCGCCAGACCGGCCCAAGAGGCCCCCAAGACGGCCCTGAGAGGGCCCCAAGACGGCCCCGAGAGGGCCCCAAGAGGCATCGAAGACACCCAAGACGGCCTCCAAGACGGCCCTGGAGCACCTCAAGAGGGCCCCAAGTCGCAGAGATGCCCTCAAGACGCCTTCCGACGGCGTCAGACGGTCCAGGAATGCTCTAAGGCGGCCAAGTCCCAAGGAGACCCCCAAGAGGCCCAAGGAGACCCCCAAGAGGCCTCCAAGAGGGTCCCAGGAAGCTCCCAGGAGGCCCCAAGAGTACCCCCAGAGGCTCCCAAGATGCCTCCTCCTCCTCCTCCTCCTGATCTTCTCCGCCGTCCTCCCCCAAGTGTTCCCCGAAGGGTTTCTGCAACGGTTGGGGGAACGCTTGCCGCAACGCTCGGCCACATGGGTGAGTTCAAAAGGCAGGGGGCGGCGGTGATTTGGCGTAGGCGTCTTCGATAAGCCTTCTAAGAGGCACGGGGGCTTCTCAGAGGCCCTCACCCCACCCCCCTCTCCCTTCTGCGCGTAGCCGAGAAAGAAAAATCAAATCGGCGGACATCGGTGAAGGGGCCCTGGGACACACAAATAAATACACACAAACAGCAAGATTCCCCATCTTTTCAAATATTTTCTGGGCTCCTGTCTTCCCCCCCGCTTTCCATATTTTCGCATGTTTGCCTGGGAATCGAGGATTCAGGGTGTCTGTGTTTTTTCCCTCCTGAATCTGGACCGCCGCGCCCGCGCCAAGAGGGGGCGGCGTCCTCATGCCGCCGGCGTCCTCCTCTGGCGCCCCTCCGAGCGCGGCCGTTTCCTGGGGCCGGCCGGCCCCCCAGCCCGCGGGAACGCGGGCGGATGGTCCCCGGGGGCAGCGCCGTCGGCCACGTCGTCGTCGCTGTCGTCGCCGCCGCCGCCATGGCCGCCGCCGCCGCCGCCGCCGTCGCCGTCGTCGTCGTCGCCATCGTCTGATCTGGCTTCGCTGAGGACTCGATTCGACTCGCCTCGCGGCCCGTTCGACCATGAAGGCTGGCCCCAGTCAATGGGGAAGCGGCACGTCGCCACAGCGGCTGGTCGGAGGAAGACATGGAGGTTTTGATGAGGGTGGCTGGGCAAGGAGGGGAGCGCGAACGCAGTATAGCCAGGGTTATCGCTCCTCCCCTACCTCCTCTTCCCGCCTCCTCCTCTTACTCCTCCGCTTTCTCCCACTCTTCCTCGAACTGGTGTTACTGCTTCTCCTGTTCCTACACCCCCTGTCCCCATCAAATTTTGTCATCCCACTTCGTCTACGTGCTCGTCCTCCCTCCCCTGCCGCCGTGGAAGGCGCTCCGGTCTCTGCACTGTCGGCCACGCGATCAAAATCCCCGACTATCGCCTGTCGGCCAGCGAATGATCCGACCCCTGGCCGCCCTGCCGCGCATGCCCATGGCCGAGTGCTCAGAGCGTTGGCAGGCTCACCGCGCCAGACCGTAGCGGCTGAGGCTGCGGGCGCGCCGAACGCTCTCCAAGGAGGTGCGATCGGTCGGCCCAGGCTGCCAGCCCCGCCCAAGAGGGAGGTCAGAAGATGCTGCGCTGTCTGGCTCTAGCGGCACCGCTGGAGCTTTTCAGGCGCACCGTTTCCGCCTGCGCGGATTTGTTCCTCCTCCTCCTCCTTTTCCTCCTCCTCCTCCTCCTCCTCCTCCTCCTCCTCCTCCTCCCCTCGTCATCGTCGTCGTCGTCGTCCTCCATCCCTTCTCCTCACCAGAAACCTCCCGCTGTTGTACCCCCGGACGTGTCGGTAGGGCGGGCTAGGCGGTTCGTCTGAGACTCCTCGCCGCTCATGGTGCTGCAACTTGAAAGGTCCAACCATTTCACGGATGTAGCTCTGGTCGTTTTCAAAATGCGGTTCCCGCCCAAGCGCCGCGCACATTCGCCATGAACGTTTGCAGCAAGTTCGCAAATGAAGGGCGGATGGTTTTCGAAATGTGGATCGCGCCCCAGCTCAACGCGCCTTCGTCTGAAACAGATGCAGCAGCTTCACGGATGGAGGGCGGACCGTGTGATTTTCTCATCCAAAATGTGAATATCGTCGTAGCGCCGCGCGCATTCGTCTCATAAGTGTGCGCGAGCTTCACAGATGGAGGGCGGAACGTTATCAAGCTATGGCTCTCGCCTGAGCGCTGCGCGCATTTGCATGAGAAGTGAGCGGCGCCCTTTGCGGATGGAGGGCGGGAGCTTTTCAAACTGTGGTTCTCGCTTTAGTGCCGCGCACACTCGTCTTAAACAGGTGCAGCCGGTTGAGGCAGTCATATGATAGATCCCAAGCGTAGCGTTCTGACAGAATTTAAGATTGTCACGACACAATATTCACATTGAATCGTGGCGCTGTAGTCCCAGGAATAATGTTCTGGCACGGCTTAGGCTCGTCAGGACGCAGCAGTCACATGTAGCAGCGGCGCTCAAGTCACAGGGTCGGCGTCTCGGTGCGATTGCAGATTCTCAGACGACTGTCTCAAAAAAGGCCAGCTCCCGCAATGAACGAATCTTGCAAGGACCTGTGCCCCTTTTAACAGTGCATCAGGCGACAGCAAGAGGCAAACTGCAGCAGAAGCTTAGGAGGAGAGCTGCGAGGCCGCAGGACGGCCACCTCGATCGAGGAGACCGCCCGCCGGCCAAGCCCAGGATGCACCTCGAGCCTGCACTGGTCGTCGTCTCCCTCCCCCTCCGCCTCCTCTTGAGGCGCGCTGGCCAACAGCCCGTCCGCGCGCCGCGCGCGCGGTGAAACCTCTTGCCCGCACGCCACGCCTGGCCCGTGCTGCGCCCCAGGATGGTGCGGCAGGAGGAGGAGGAGGAGCAGAAGGAGGAGGAGCAGAAGGAGGAGGCGGAGGAGGAGGAAAAGAGGAGGAGGAGGAAGAGAAAGAGGAGCAGGAGGAGGAGGATGAGGAGAATGGTGCGGCCCACAAAAAAATGCTGCAAAGGCGATCAACAGTCCTGCTCGCAGGGGCCGCCGCTGCACCTTGCCAGCGGGACGATCGAAGCCTCCTTGGATTTCACTGGCTGATCGGGCAGCAAGCTTCCGACACCCCCTACAGACCGCCTTGACCGACGCCTCCTCCTCCTTCTCCTCCTCCTCCTCCTTCTCCTCCTCCTCCTCCTGACCCTGGTCTTGCAGCTCCTCGTGTTCCTCCTCAGCCTCCTCCTCCACTTTTCCTGCAGCAAAAACGGCATCGATGGACAAAGCATGGCCCCAGAGGCGCTCCCCCCTCCGCTGTCATTCCTTGCCTCTGCTCCCCTCGCCCCTCGCCCCTTTGTGGCGAGCGCAGGGTCAAGACACCATCGGGTTGGGATGTATAGGGAATCTTGAACATGTATCGGACGCCGCGGCCATTCCAAAGCACTCCAAGAGAGCCTTCAGAAACGCCTGAGAACGAGCGAGTTATAGGTTCCTTGATTTGATGGGTTCTCCTTTTCCCTTTCCTGATTAACCCTTCTCCCCTTCCACATGTCATATTCATTTTCCCTCTCCCTCCAGCTCACCCCTCCCTGGCTCGCCCGTGCTGCTGGTGGGTTGGAGCGCTGGCCTGCAACATGGCCTCGAGGATCGCTGTCTTGCCCGAGGCGCGCCCGCCTGGGAAGCTGTGAAGGACCGAACGAAGCAGCGGCCGCTACAACCTCGCGCCTCCCCGTGCCTCCCTCTCCTTCGGGGGTTGCAAAGTTGCCCCTGGCAAAAAACCAAAGGTGCTCCCAGCTTTTCGTTTCACTTTGGAGCCCCTAGGGCCGTGGGGGGTTCTCTGCATGGAGGTCGTGGGGGCCTCCTTGGAAATCCTGGGGGCGCCTTGGGCCAGAGGCACTTCTTGCAACACCTGGGTCCTTTCTGCCCCTTTGTCCCAGACCCCCCCCCCGTGATCGCAGGCTCACCCGGGGGAGAAGTGAGATGGGGCAGGCCTTCTCAGAAGGCGGCGCGCGTGGCTTCTCAGAAGCCCTCTGTGACTTCGGAGAAGGCTTAGATCGCTTCTCGGAGCCTTCTGAGAAGGCCCGCCCCCTTTGCCGTCCCCCCTGGCCGCGCCACCGACTTGTCCCTCCCTTCCTCCCATCCATTCCCATCCCCCCTGTCAAGTCCCTCCCCCCTTGCGCCTCCCTTCTGAGACCGATTGCGATGAACATCGGACCGTTATCACTCGTGTCCGAACCAGTGGATGTGCGACGTCCTGCGCGAAGTGGTATGGCGTCCCTCGCCCTTGTTCGAGCGGGACACTCAGCATACCAACTGCATCCCGAATCCTACAGCCACTTCCGTGCTTCAGGGCCTGTGCATCATGAAAACAGCGTCCATCGGGTGTGTGAACCATTCGCCCCGTCGGCCCCCGTCTACTTCCCGAAAAAACGCATGTTCATTTACCAATGCGGCGACACCGGATTCGCGAGATCGACGCTCACGAATGACTGCGACAATAAAACGTTGTCTGCAGCCTCATTCGAAGTGGCCCTAACGAGATGGGCGTTGCGAAAGGAGCCGAGGAGCCGAATTGAATTGCACACGGAAGTACGGTTCCCAACGACATCCTGAAATATGACAGCTGATGCCCTGAAATCATCTTGTCATGCCGCCTACCACCGGTGATGGCAGGCCACGGCAACCTGACTAGGGCCCAGACGGTTCGGTTGCCAATATATTGGGCTCCAGGCTCGCAAGTGAATCAGTCGTCGTCTGCGCAAAAATTCAGCCACATGCCCCCAGGCAAGCATGCCCGAACCATGTCAATCATATCTCATCTGGGAATATGAAATGACGCCTGTCTTGCAGCCATACCTGTCCCTACCGCCGAAGAAATCGAGGTAGCTGGCTAGATCCTGGTTCCTTCTGTCGTCGCGAGATCCTTGGGTATAGGATGAAAGTTACCAGACCTACCCTGCATGCCCTCACCCACCACTCGTGTAAGTTTTGGGAGGACTGTTAAGAAATATCCGCGTCCTCCTGTGCATCAAGGTCCACTCGAATTCTTGCTCAAGGAGGCACGAAAACTGGATAAACAAAATGTGACGGCGCGTGTGGCAAGCCACGGGGTACACTATCATAAAACAATTGAAACTACCGGGTCTGCAAGATCGCACTGGGAGTCCTGGCGCGGCGGGTCAAGAATGACCATGTTGGTTTGTACTATGTTTCCTTGGCTTTCGCGATCACAAACAGAATGGGGAATTGCTCAGCGCCCATGTGGTCTGGTCTGAAGGCAAACCAGCTGATCTTGATCTGAGGGTGCTCGACCTGCACAACACCACGTAGATTACGATTGGTGATGCAGCTCGATGTCGTCCAACACGTCCCCTTGATATTCTCACAAGGTCACATGGCGCCGTCAGAGGCAGAACGCTTGACAGATATCATGTGGCCGAACAGCCGCACCGATGTCGTGCTAAGCCAGAAAGGGCACTGACCACCTGTGACGATCCCATCGGGCGTTGATCCTGGCGACGCCTGCAGCATATTTCGGGGCGATGTGTTGACATGAAGCCGGAGCTGAGAATGTACACGTTCGAAGTCAGCGTTCATCAAGTAGATCGGACCGTGCCCAAAGTCCTCGAGTGTGAAGGCGGTGCGAGGTGAACAGCAGAACATGATGCTAGCGGCCCGAACTCTGATGCCACGCTGACTGGCACGACATATGCTCAGAACCGACGAGGCCACCGGCTTCTGCATACCCTCTCACGCAGAGCCCAGCTGTCGGTGATCCTCTATGTAGATTCTTCGGCCTCTTGCTGGGCGGCGTACGTTCACCCCGAGAAAGAATCTGCACAACAAGGGCACGATGCAAGACATAATAACAATACCGATCGTGGCCTCCGAGGGGGGAGCCGCAATCGACTGCCCCCCCTCCCGCCCCACGAGGCCCCCAAGAGCCCCCCAAGAGGCCCTGGGGGCCCCCAAGACGCCGCCAAGGACCCCCAAGAGACTCTCAAGATGTCCCCAAGAGGCCCCCGAGAGGCCCTAGAGAGGGCTCCAGGGCCTGCGGAACGAGCGAAGCGATGAAGAACAGTACCCATTGCCAAGATTGACTCCTCTCCAGGCCAGCCCTCGTGCGAGGACAGCGAATACGATGGAATGGTTGTGTGACTGGACGTCCCCAACCGCGACGGCATCTCACTGGCTGCGTCCACGGAGGAGGGATAGAGAGGAAGGAGGAGGAAGGGAAGAGGAGGATGATGGCGAGGAGGAGGAGGAGGAGGAGGGCGAGGAGGAGGAGGGCGAGGAGGAGGAGGAGGAGGGAGCGATGGGGAAGGAGGAGGAGGAAGGGAAGAGGGGGAGGAGGGCGAGGACCATCTTCCCCTGGGAGCTGTCATACCCACAACTCTCGTGATCCCCTGCGTTGCTGGGCGGTCCAGCGGAGTGCCCGTCTGCGCATGCCGCGCTCTTCCTCTGGCCCTCTTGGGACGGCCAGCGCGTAATTGCCGCCACGCTCCTGCGTCACCGTGGATCCAGCGGCTGCCCCCTCACGCAGACCGAGCTATCAATACAACTGTCGCCATGTTCCTACGCCCGTGGGGGTTCCAACGCTGCGCCGCCCCGCGCAGACTGGAATAGACCCCACCTCGGTGGCTGCTGCCCAACGCACACCTGTCGCCAATGCCCTGCGTCCCCGTGCATCCCTGCGCAGTGCCAGCCGTGCAGACGCAAACGGAACTGCGCCACCCTGGGCGCTGTATGCCTTCTCCCTCGAACGCACGCCGCCTCAACTCCCTCGACTCGGGCATGTTCTCCAGCAGATCACCCGCCAAACATCAATCGTGCTCAGCGGGGGGGGGGCGCAACGACTCGGCACCCTCGACTCAGACGGGCCCACAGCGCAATCGATGCAATGGCGTGCTGGCCACCCACCGCTGGCCCAACCTCAAGGCAAGACAACCCATTTTTCTGCGCCCTTCGAAGGCCCACCGCAATGCCTCCCCGTGCAGATCTGAACGCGGTCGTGCTCACCTGGGAAACCCATTGAGCCTCCTCGAGGTCCTCGAGCGGCAGTCGGATAGCCCAGACAGCCTTCCGACCAGATGGCCTGAAGTAGCATGACCATAACACGACCCAATATTGCCTCATCACAGCCCGAGAAACACTCCAAGACAGCTCCAGGCAAGCCCTAGGCCAACCCAAGATGGCCCAAAAACTGGTGCAAAGCATGCCAAACAACACCAAAACCATCCCTTGCTTGAATACGTTATTCCAATGCCCTGTACCGTGAACATGCACACTTCAAACCCTGCAAAGGCCGTAACAAACCTCCGGACGCCGCCCGTCTCCGAACGCCCGAGGAACCCCCACGAGGCCCGCATGCTTGCACTAACGCGTGCCTTTAGCATGAACTCCTGCGTCCGTCAAGCGGTGCGGCCGTGCAGCGCTGCAGAGCTGCTGCGATACATCGCAAAATGCGGCGGCGGTCATGCGTGGCAGCGGGGGCGGATAAGGCCAGAACACTGGGCAATTCTTGCGTCTGCGCTCCTATCCTTCGCCAACTCCCCGTCGCCTTCCCCCTGCCCCCCCCTCGCTCAAACCCTGTCCCCCAGATATGCATATAGAAATCGAGCCTCTAAGGGCCAGAATCTTATGCATATCCAGGGGAGCCCGAAACGCCAAACTGCAATGGACATGGACACAAATCTTGCCGGCAGAAACGTAGAGCATTCTGTCACCGCAGCAGCCATAGACCGGACCTTTTTTTTTCATATATATATATATAGATATATATATATATAGATATCCAGGACCCGTTGCGCGTGCCTCATGGCCAAAACGTGTGCTTCCCCCCACTCCCCCTCCCTTGGGAGGCGGCCAGGGTTAGGGCCTCAGAAAAACAACCAGGAGGGGGGATGAGACCAAATCTGCACAAAACCTGCTCCCGGGGTTCATCTGGTGTATTTTTTCACTGCGCATCCGTTGTTCACGGTTCCGGGCCCGAACAAGGCCCCTTGAGTCAGAAAAAGGCAAGCAACCTACCCGAAACCAGAACCTCGAACCAGCCCGCCCTCCCTGCCTGCCAAAAGAAGTGCTTTGCAACCTCAGACCTCCAGACGGCTCCGACCCTCCCCCGTTCCCCCACCCCACCCCCTGCCCGCTCCTCCCTTCCTTTTCTGGTGCCCGCGGCCGCCCACAACTACGACCTGGAAGCTGAGCGTGTCAGGCGGCGGCGGCGGCTGCGCCTGAGGGCAGGAGGGGCGCTCCCTCGAATGGCAAGCCCGACATGGGTACGAACAGAAGTAGGCATGATGCCCAACAACAGGTGCTGCCAAATCCAGCAACTGCCGCTGCTGGGCAGGCGACGTTGTGTTTGTCTCAAGTGGACATCGTCCGCGGCGACACTGGCAGCGAAGCCCTGTCAAAATGAGCATGATCTGCTGTCGGTGTGCGTCCCCCTTCGCCGAAGGGCCTTCGGCGGTGCGCCGAGGGGGAAGTGCAGAGGGGCCTTCGGCGTTGCGCCGAGGGGGAAGTGAGCTTTTTTTCTCAAGCGGCAAATGATGACCTCATAGTCATGCACTGCAAGTCATCACAGCAGGACTGTGCCACAGCGTGCGATGGATGGTTGCACGGTGGCCGCCAAATGGTCCATGGGCCCATGCGTGAAGCACAGAATAAAAGCGAGAGGCAACGGGGGCAGGGCAAGGTGAGACGAGCAAGGCCTGAAGCCAAACCAACACGCGACGCCCTGTTGGGGGAGAAGGAGGAGGAGGAGGAGGAGGAGGAGGAGGAGGAGGAGAGCGGGCAAAGGCGCTGTGCGAATGTCCCCATGCAACCCAATCGGCTGCTCATACAATTTCAACAAGCCCAACGGCATTCAAGAGGGGAAAAGGAAGGGAGACCATGAGGCGGAAGGAAGAGAAGGGAAGAGGGAGAGAGGAATAACACGCTCACAGCCAACAGGCCCCACGAGCACAGGTGGAGAGGGGGCAGACAGACAGTCCTACAGTTCAGGGCCAAAGTGTGGACATTTCGGACGGGGGCGTGGGCGGCAGAGAGCTAAGCCCGCAACCTGAGAGAAGCGGCGGGGTCAGCCAGCCACGGCCGCGAGGAGGCCAACTAATTAGCCATGCCAACTCAAGGCGGGCGCTGAACATGCAATCGGAATGCCAACATGTTGCGCCACAGCTGCTATCCCACTTCATGGGATGAGCACTCCGCGCCAAGGCGACTGTCATGAGAGAGCAAATATGCACCACGACAACTATCCCACTGAATGGGATAAGCGCTCCGCATTTATGCTACAAACTAGACCGCACCCACTTTTGCGACGCCCCCTGGCGTCCGGGACCTGTTCACATTCTCGCGCTGACTCTGCCGCCACACCTGCCGGCACGAGCGGCGGCGCTCGCAACGGGATGTCGTCCACAAATCGAAAGCACCGTGTTGACCGACACCGTCGTCAAGAAGGGCGCGATGTTCCCCGAATTTCGGTTCGCGGGACAACCTTTGAACATGACCAAATCATGGCCGGAAGCGGACTCGGAAAAGGGGCAGGACTCAGAGGCGGTTTGCCTGGGGAGAAGTGGAAGGGGGCAGGGCTTCCCCGAAGGCGGCGGGGCTTCGGAGATGGCTCAGAACATATTTCACCAGGGCAGACGCTTTCTGAGCCTTCTAAGCAAGGGCGCCCCCTCTGCCTTCCCCCCTTGCCGGCCTTAGCGCGCCGCTGGCACATTCTTTCCGTGCCCATTTTGATCGTGCCGGCTTGGAAGCCGCGCCCACGAGAGGCTCTCCGGCGCGCACGGCCAGCCTGCACAAGCATGCCTCGCAGACCTCCCTGCGGCTGGTAAGGAAGGCAGAGGGGGTGGACGTTCGCATCGGTCGGTTTGCCATTGGCGTCGGTTCAGATTCGCATCCTATCTATGCCTGGACCTCGCCAGTTACCGGCATTACGACCTACTCGCTGATCTCGATACCCATCTATGAGGGAGCGCGATCTACTGTCGCTGAACTGGAAAATTAGCCTGGCGAAGGGACCCAACCACACGCAATTGTGGATACAGCAATTGTGGATACCATCTTCGCCCGCGCTCCCTATGTGGCCACGGCTTCCCGCCGGAGCCCGACATGCTCAGGGACACGTTTGTGGCCGTCTTCGCGGGCGCCGACGACCACGAGGACGGCGTCCCCCTGACCGAAGAGCAGAAGCATGAAAGGGTTCTGAGAGCCATGAGGGAGACCGCCATTGGCGCCTTCGGTGGAGCTCCTATGGGGCCACGATGCTCATGAGGGGTGTGCCGAAATGGCCCGAGGCCGCCATGCGAACCCTGCCACTGGGGGCCTTCGGTGGAGCTCCCTATGGGGCCACGATCCTCGTGAGGGGTGTGCCGAAATGGCCCGAGGCCGACATGCGAACCCTGCCACTGGGGCCTTCGGTGGAGCTCCCTATGGGGCCACGATCCTAATGAGGGGTGTGCCGAAATGGGGCGGGGACGCCATGCGAACGCTGCCACTGGGGCCTTCGGTGGAGCTCCCTTGTGGGGCCACGATCCTCGTGAGGGGTGTGCCGAAATGGCCCGGGGCCACCATGCGATCCTGCCACTGGGGCCTTCGGTGGAGCTCCCTATGGGGCCACGATCCTCGTGAGGGGTGTGCCGAAATGGCCCGGGGACGCCATGCGAACGCTGCCACTGGGGCCTTCGGTGGAGCTCCCTATGGGGCCACGATCCTCATGGGCGGGGCCGCCATGCGAACGCTGCCACTGGGGCCTTCGGTGGAGCTCCCTATGGGGCCACGATCCTCGTGAGGGGTGCGCCAAAATGGGGCGGGGCCGCCATGCGAACGCTGCCACTGGGGCCTTCGGTGGAGCTCCCTATGGGGCCACGATCCTCGTGAGGGGTGTGCCGAAATGGGGCGGGGCCGCCATGCGAACGCTGCCACTGGGGCCTTCGGTGGAGCTCCCTATGGGGCCACGATCCTCAGGGGTGTGCCGAAATGGGGCGGGGCCGCCATGCGAACGCTGCCACTGGGGCCTTCGGTGGAGCTCCCTATGGGGCCACGATCCTCATGAGGGGTGTGCCGAAATGGCCCGAGGACGCCATGCGAACGCTGCCACTGGGGCCTTCGGTGGAGCTCCCTATGGGGCCACGATCCTCGTGAGGGGTGTGCCGAAATGGCCCGGGGCCGCCATGCGAACGCAGCCACTGGAGCCTTCGGTGGAGCTCCCTATGGGTCCACGAAACGCTGTACTGGGTTGGTGAAACGCAGGGAGGAGGGGGGAGGAGGGGGAGGAGAGGAGGAGGAAGAGAAACGCGGGGCGACGTCTCTTGAAAAAGAGGAGCCAACACCACAGGATGGTTGGGAACAAAACTCTTCCCCCTCATCAGGGAAACCGGGGAGGGGAATAAAAATTCCCCCCCCTCTCCCCGATGGACGCCCGAAATGGGTACAGAAAAAATGGGTACAATGCCCAACATCAGATGTTGTCCCAAACCAACAGCGGTCGCTGTTGGGCAGGCGGCCTTCTGTCTCAAGTGGACACAGGCCGCGGCGGCGCGGACAGCGAATCCTGTTCAGACTGAACAGGAACTGCTGTTGGGCATTGTACCCATTCTTTCTGTGCCCATACCGTGCGTGCCGAGGGGGGTCAAATTTCCCCCCCCCCCCTCTCCCCAGGAACTGGGCGGGGGGGAGACTGCCCGGAAGCCGGGGGAGGGGCAGGCGGGGCCCCTCCTGCCCGGAAACCGAGGGGGGAGGTACAGACCGACTGCACAGGGGACCAATCCCAGCCGACCAAGACCAATTACAACCCAATCGATAAACAAACGACTGGTACAAGAAAAAACCCAGCGTTGCCAACACCGTCCTAGAAATTGCGTTGGAAAAAATATAAAATAAAGTGAAGGCAGTCCTTCCTCTAGAAGTAAGGAAATAGCTAGGGGGCTCATCGATGGACGTGAGTGGAAGAAAGAGAGCCGAATTGCCCTGCTCCGAACAGACAGTGGACAGCCGGCAGCAATGAGCCGACGACCGTTAGCAACCAGGCATCTTGAGCCACCACTTGGGTTCGATGTGTAGACCGTTTCGCTTAAGGCGAATAAGACAGAAAGTGCACAACTTAAGAGTATACGCTCACTCTGGGAAACAGTGATGGCGCCACGTGTGGAAATGGTAGTAGTTTACTTTCGGGCATCTTGGGGGTGTGTTGCGTTGCAACCGAGCAGAGGTCGCCAATCTTTCAAGAACTGGGCAGGCGCTTTTTCAGGAGCCTTCCCCAAAAAGCCGGGCAGTGCTTCGAGAGCCTTGCAGGCGCCTCTCAGGCGCTTCGCATGCGCCCGCGGGGAGCCCGCAGGCGCCTCCCCAGAGCTTCTCAGGAACCGGGGCCTGAAACGAGCCCGTGAGGAGCGAGTGGACATGTCGGGAGTTTCCTGGACGGCTCGAAGTGGGAACAACGAAAGGCGACACCAACACCAGCAGGGCGAGGAGATGCGAGGAGGCAAGGGGGGTCTCCCTGGTGGTGTGGTCCCCCCCCTCTCGCTCGAGACATCCCCAGCCTCCAGCTCGGGGAGGCGTCGTGGACCTCGTCGCTGGAGGTGGCCCCCCTGGTGGTGTTGGTGTCGCTTCTCCGACCTCCGATCGAAGGAGATGGGATTCCTTCGGGACCCTGCGAACGTCTCCCAAGAATGCCAAACGGATCGCTCGGCAATCCTGTAAGGGGCTCTCACGGATCCTGTAAAGATCTCTCGAACATCCCGAACGGCTCTCCAAAGAAATGTATAAGTCTCTCTCAAGGATCCTGGAAAGAACGCGCAAACAATCCTGTACGGAACCCTCGGGAACCCTGTGAGGGCCGGAATCCTGTACGGATCCCTCGGGGATGCTGGAGGTATCTTGCAAGGATCCTGGAAGGATCTCTCAGAGTTCCTGGAAATATCTTTCAAGGATCCAGCACGGATCTCTCACGAATCCTGGAACGATCCCGCAGGGGTCCTGTATGGACCTCTCGATGATCCTGGAAGGATCTATCCAGGGTGCTGCAAAAATCTCGCAAGGATCCTCGAAGACATCGGAATGACATGTCTGGAATCATTCTAGGATCTCCCTTGCACATTGCACACATCCCAGAGGAGCCCTACAAGGGTCCCAGACATTTGTCTTGCTTTTTGAAAAAATTGCTGACGAATCTTGGGGGGGGGATATCCGAGGGATCGAGAAAGTAGTCGCGCTCAAATCCAGAACAAGGAATGCTCGAGGAATCCAGCGAACAGAGTGTTGGAAGAATCCTGGAAGGAATGTCCCGTTCAAGGGTCGAATCCCCCTGCTTTTCTTTTGGTAGCCTCAGCCTCTGCCTCTGCCTCTGCCCAGCCTCGGCCACTGCCTCAACCTAAACCTGGACTCAGCCTCGGCCTCAGCTACAGCCGAAGCATTGCGTACATCTGGCCTGAACCTTAGCCTACGTTTAAGCACCTCCGCCTTGCCTAAGCATCAGCCTGAACCAGCCTAGCCGAATCCCATCCAAAGCATCAGCCTCGCCTCGGCTCCAGCCTCACTCTAAGCCTCAGCCTAACATGAGGCTCCGCCTCAGCCTTAGCCTCGGCCTGAGCCTAGCCTCGGCCTCAACCGAAACCTAGCCAGAGCCTCAACCCCATTATTGCTACTACCATCGTCTTACACGTAAACTGTTACATTACCACGACCCCCCACAACATTATTACGACTACAACAGTACGACCGTGCATAATGCCCTACACTACAAAGTATTGCAATACTGTACCTCCAGCCACAGCTAAAGTGTGACCACCACTACTTGACCAGAGTAGTACTTCGACTTCAATAGAATGATACATATACAATACTACCACGGCGATACAGTACTAGGGTACGGCTACCCTGCTTGAACACTCTGATGTTAGAGCTCCACTACTACGACTATTACAACACCACCACTACAGCACTACAGTATCATAATGCTACAGCCGTGCTGCGTTTAATAAAGCATTTGGCAATTCCTTCTACAGCACTGTAGTGGAGCTAGGCACGCCTAAGCATAGCCTAAGCCTGACCCAAACCTCAGCCTCAGCCTAAGCCGCAGCATAGCCCACACCTCAGCCTAAGCCTAGCCTGAGCCTCGTCCAAATCTCAGCCTGCGCTTCGGCGGAAGCCTCAGCCTAAGCCAATCCCAAGCGTAGCCTGAGCCTCAGCCTAGTGTCAGCCTTGGCCTCAGCCCTAGCGTTAGATAAGCCCCAGCCTCAGCCTGAGCCCCGGCCTGGGCCGAACCTCAGCCAACGCCTAGCCTGAGCCTCAGACCTTCACTTGCTATAACAGTACTAGGCTACTGCCATCACCTACAACACTTCTACTATCACAATATTCGGATACGACTGCTCCTACAACGCATTTGCTGTACAACAGCTCGACCATTCTAGAATGACGCTACATTATTTAAATGTTACAAGACCGTTTTGTTCCCACAGCCACCGCTACGTTGTTACCACTACTACTGGTGCAGAGCACTACTACGACTTAAATATAATGCTATTAATACAATACTACTGCGGCACTACGCTGCGACGGCACGGCGGCCGTGCTTGACTACTCCAAGGTTACAGCTCTATTGCGACGACTGCCAATAATAGAGCACTACCTATCCAGTGCTAAAATACCACTTACGCCACATTCATGCTGCAGTGTTGCACTCCGATTATTACAGTGTCCACTACTACTGATACAGCGTCACCACTACAGCACTACATTACGATAATACAACAACAGTGTTTTGCCATGCGGCGGCAGTGTAGCATTCCTACTACAAGATTGCAGGCAACCGTTGGGTACTACGCGTGCAAGTCATGTATTAGAGCACTGCTTCTACAGTGCCACTACTACACTAGTACACCACTGCCCCACAACGGCACGAAACTATTCCTACAGCGCTAATACGGACGCGCCCCAGTTCGATCGTACTAATATTTTATCCATGTACGACAACAGTGGGTTATTTCTACTATAGCAGTACAGTGCGACTACTAAATCCAATGCTAGGGTATGATATTTACTGCCAGACCTGGGTACGACTCACGACGACAAATACGACAACTACTACCACTACTACTACTACTACTACTACTACTACTACTACTGCTACTACTACTACTACTACTACTACTACTACGAGTACTACTACTACTACGACTACTACTACTACTACTACTACTACTACTACTACTACTACTACTATTACGACTACTACTACTACTACTACTACTACTACTACTACTACTACTACGACTACGACTACGACTACGACTACTACTACTACTACTACTACTATTGTTACTACTACTGGTACGACGACTACGACTACTACTACTACTACTACTACTACTGCTACTACTACTACTACTACTACTACTACTACTACTACTACTACGACTACTACTACTACTACTACTACTAGTACTACTACTACTACTACTACTACTACTACTACTACTACTACTACTACTAAGACTACTACTACGACTACTACCAATACTACCACTACTACTACTACTACTACTACTACTACTACTACGGCTACTACGACTACTGCTACTACTACTTCTTCTACTGCTACTACTTCTGCTACTACTTCTACTACTACGGATTGGATGACTAGTGCGCTGCCGCTTCACTGATACAGTACTACTCTGGCTAGGCATGGTATTATCATACCACCAGTACACTCCTAGAGTGGCACTACTGGAGCACGATTGCTACAGTACTGTGCGACGACTATTGCAACGCCGCCGCTACAGCACTACAGTACCAGACTACTACAACAACGCGGGGTGCGGCATTAGAGTATTCCTACTACAGTACTGTAGTACATTCGTTGCAAGGAGTGTTATATTATTCTTCGAGCGAGAACTGTACTAAAGTATTGTTCTGCAGTGTCATTGCTACAATGGGAGCACTGCTCCACAACTGTGCAGCTATATTCCTACCGCGCTATCGCTAGTGCACATCTCGGCGGCAATATCATTGCATTCGAATGGTACAAGAATGGATCACCTCTATTACAACCGTACAGTGCGACTACAACAACAAACGCTGTAGAGTATAATATTTACTGCACGGCCTGGGTACGACCACCACTACTACTACTACTACTACTACTACTACTACTACTACTACTACAACTACTATTACTACTACTACTACTACTACTACTACTACTACAACTACTACTACTACTACTACTACTACTACTACGACTATTATTACTACTACTACTACTACTACTACTACTACTACTACTGCTACTACTACTACTACTACTACTACTACTACTACTACTACTACTACTACTACTACTACAATACTGTTACAGTACTGTCCTTCGTTTTTTACCAACGCACAAAAAAAGAAGGAGGGAAGCGGGGCGCGAGGAGAGGGGGGAGCGTGGGAAGACAAAGTCCCACACACATCCAAAGAACTATGCCGACTGAGTCCAAAAGGATTGTTTCAGGAATCCGAGTGGAATGGTTCAGGGGTCCAACAGGAAAACAATTAGAAATCCCGCAAAGTTCCATCGAATAGTTTGGAAGGAACCCCCTAACAACAAATATGTTGGAAATTGCGGACGGCATCCTTCAGGAACCCAGGAAAACATCATTCAGGAAACCACAAGCACTCCATCCGAAACCCTCCAGGACATCCTGAAACAATGCTGAGAGGAATCTCTGAGGGATCCTTAAAACACCCAGAACAATCTCAGAAAAATCCTGGGATTTGCGGGATCCTCAAGGACCTCTGAAGCACCGCTAGAATCCCTGGATAATCATGCGGCACCCAAAGGAACGAACAATCTTTGAACAACTATGAGGGGTCATCAGGGGCCAATGAAGAATGACAAACTATCCCGGAAGAGCTCGGGAACGTTAGGGGCAATAGTTCGGGAACCTCTCAGACATCCAAAGACATCTCTGCGGAATCTCTGCGCAATCCTTATGAGGTCTCCGAAAGACACCGATGAATCCCTGAATAAACGTGAGGAACCCAGAACACTGCCTGCGGAATCTCGGAGGAAGTCTGACGAATCGCACGGGGTCCCTAAAGAGTCCTGCACACCTGAGGAACCTGTCAAGCACCAGAAAGACACCCTGAAGAAACCTGAGGACACCTGAGGAGATTCTGAAGATCACGAGAACCTGTAGAAAATCACGAGGCATCCTGGGAAATCTCCGAAAGAGCACTCGGATTCCGTGGGAATAAACATCAGGAAATCTTGAAAAATCACGCGGGCTTTCTTAAGATTGACGAGGCATCGATGGATCACAACGAGGAATCTCTGAAGAAATAACAACATCTCATAATAGTAAGCGAATCCAAAAATGATCCTGAGGAGTGCGGTCGGATCTCCGAAGAATCACAAGTAATCCTGGAGGAATCGCGACGACTCCGAGCAATCTCTCAGGACGCCTCGAGACATCCTGAGGGGAACTCAAGGATCCCGAGGGACCCCTGAGGAATGCTGCAAAAACCTTCGGGGATTCTCGAGGATTCCTGCGGGATCCCGCAAGAGTCCCCAAAAAAGAGTCCGGCATAAGCCCTTCGGAATAGTCCGTCGGCCCCCTTCCGGTGCCATCGGGCTGCGGAGATTAGGTGTTCATGCTCCCGCCGATCATTTCTAACAGTGCTCATCGAATTGTGTTCGTTTCTAATTGTTCCTGGCCCCTCAATGGCCATGAAGAGGCCTGGGATATAACAATAATAAATGAAAGGATCTTGGCCCCCCCAGAGTAACAAAGCATTTCCAAATACTTAGAGATAGACCATGTGTATATTCGCATTCAGAAGCCAGAAGTCCCTTGTACATTACGCAATACCTGCGTCCCCGAAGCAAGAGTCCATTGTAGTTTGCGTTATGTTTGTGTCCCCGAGGCCACAAAGCCTTATACATTAAGCAATGGCTGCGTCCCCGAAGCCAAGAGCAATCGAACATTATAAAATATACGCGCCCCCGAAGCCTTAACCCATAGACAAATTCTCACGGTTCGCGTCCCCAGGGGCATAAACCATTGTTAAGCACTCCATGCTTGCGCCCCCGAGGCCACAAACCCAAGTAAGTCCACAAACCCCATTAAGTTATACAATAGTCGCGTTCCCGAACCCATGAACCATCATAAATGACCGAATGTTCGCGCCACCGAAGCCATGAACCATCGAAAATTGATATTTGTCCTCGCGCGAAGCCCCGATATTGCACCACGTCAGCGCCCAAGCATCCCAACACAGCTCTGGCAAATCTCATTCTGAGAAAAGGGGGCCAGCAGCAAGGGGGCGAAGCCCTGACGGATAAGGAATCCGTGAGAAATGCGAAGGAAGACGGAAGAACCCTGAGTCATCCTCGAAAGATCCAACGGCGGCCGCAGGATCCCCGAAGGAATCTACAAGGGATGCCGAAGGAACTTCTAAGGGCCCCTAGAAAGAGTCACAAGGAATCCTAAAAGGATTCTCGCAGGAAACTCTAAGAGGTATCTCGGATGAACCTGTAAGAAATCTTCAAGTAGTTTTCAAACGGTTGGAATGCATAACGCGTGGCTGGCATTGGTACCAACATGGTTGGAATATGTCCCAATCGGTGGTGATCCGTCCCATTTTCGTGGAGACTGCTGCCACCTCCCCTTTCGAACCGAAGGGGTAAGGGGAACGATCCCCTCCCCGCCCAAAATTTGCTTCCAAAATTGAGCTTGAGTGAGGCTTTGTCTCAGTTTTGGTGGAGATTTGTTTCAGCGTTGTGTAATCGATGTTTGAATTGTGGTTGCCCTTTCTTTGAACTGGGGTTGAGCTTTGTTTGAGCTTTGTTTGACCTTTGTTTGAGCATTCGTTGAGGATGTTGAGCTGTGGTTGAGCAATGTAAGAACTGTTGACGCGAAGTGTTTGAGCGTTGCTTGAGCTTTGCTTGGGCTTTGCTTGAGATTTCGTTGAGCTTTGCGTGGCTGGTGTTTGAGCTTTGTTTGGACATTGCTTGGGATTTGTTTTGGCTTTGTTTGAACTTTCTTTGGACTCTGCTGGAAACGTGTTTGACATTGTTTGTTGTAAGCGAAGCGGCCGAGGCATAACACGGAAAAATCTACCCTGCGCTCGCTCTTCAGGCTCGAATTCTGGCACGGGAAACAGCTAGGGAAAAAACCGCCCCCCCCCCCCCCACCCCCTCACCCCGTCCCAATCCAGGGGGACGGGGCTCTCCCCTCTCCTCCTCCCCTCACCCCTGGTCCCCTCTCCCCTCTCCCCTCCCCTCACCCCTCTCCGCCTCCCCCCCCCCACACCACCCCCTCACCCCGTCCCAATCCAGGGGGACGGGGCTCTCCCCTCTCCTCCTCCCCTCGCCCCTGGTCCCAACCAGGGGGGGGGGGTGGGAGGTCCGCCCCGCCCCCTCCCCCCCCCAGGATCGGAGTGGAGGCTGGTTTGCCTCCGCCCTTGGTTCGAATGGGGGGGGGGGGCCTTGCCAGCTTCAGCAGGAGACGCGTTTCTCCATCTATCGACCTCACGGCTTAGAGACCTATCTATCGGCCTCACGACCATTTACGGATACAAATCAATCTCGCGGTCTACATGTCATCGCTCTTAACACAAATATGTACATTCCGATCCTGGACCACTGGCCACTTCATTTCGTTGAACTGTCTGGGTTAACCCGCAAGTGATATACGATGTCTATAAAAAGCCCTCCGCTTCGATTTGATTTTGGAATTGCGATGTACATCGCCACTGCCACCGGATCGCCGTTGGATTTGTATTACGACGTGACGTTCGATTTGCACGTCGATGTTCGTCTCCGCCCGCAGGCCGATCGGCAATTCGGTGGCAATTTCGATTCGCACTCTAATTCAAATCTCGACGTGCATTTCGCTTTGAAAATACACTTGCCTTTTTTCTCACACTCATGTACAAGTCTTTTAACGTTCATTGGAGTTTGCATCTCAAGGCGCATGCATTGCACAATTCGAGCTGCGTGTCGATTGTACTTGAGTGTGTACCTCCATTTGATTTCAGGCTTGCCGTTTGGTTTCAGTCTAGATGCACATGGTGTTTGCAATTTGACCTACATGTCGATTCGCATTCGGATTGCACTTGCTCCTGCATGTCGACGTGACTTCCCGACGGGGGAAATGACGCAACAACTACACGACAACCCGCGGGGCAGCCCGCGGGGCAACCCACTGGACACCTGCGGGACCATCAGGGAGAGAACCTTCGGTGGCAACTCATCCTCCTCTCCTTATCCTCCTCCTCCCCCTCCTCCTCCCCCTCCATCTCATCCTCCTTCTCCTCCTTCTCCTCCTCCCCCTCCTCCTCCTCCTCCTAGTCCTCCTCCTCCTCCTCCTCCTCCTCCTCCCCCTCCTCTCATGTCAAGTCGGGCGTGTCCCCCATACAGGGGGTTTGTGGGCGGCCACAGAAACATACTCAGAATATCCTCCCCAATTGGGCAAACATAGAAACAAAAAATCGTCCCCAGACTGTTTTTGGACTAGTTTTCATGTTCTTCCTGTAGAGGGACAGGCCCGATTTGAAACTCATGGGAACCTCCCATACCATCTTGTTGGCTTTTTCGAATCGACGGTGGTCCCGCTAATCGACGCTACACCGACGCGACTATATGCCAAACGAGGTCAATGGACGCTAAGACGGCGCTATCTCATCGACTACCATACGTTATCGGCAATGCCGCAATCTAGAAGCGGAATTACGGGGGCAGACAAGGCTCCCATTATGTGCTACCGAAGAGAATCCCACGCAACTAGAGACTAGAGAGACTTGTTTCACGACTTGGCCCTAGCTGCGCCGCTACGTCGCCATTCTCGCGCATTTTGCCTCGCCCATATGTGCGGCGCGAACCGAAACTGAAACCGATGTACCAGTTGGGGTCACTTCGCTTTGAAGCAAGAGGCTCCGAACTGTAGGATTGACCCGCTCAACACATTCCTTTTCCGAGCAAGTATACGTGGTTCGGAGACCCGGGTTATCGCCGAATCTCTCAGGCACGCTGTTCTAGATCCAGCGGCGTTAGGCTAGGCGTGTCCGCCAAAGTCAAGGTGCCATGCCAGCGAAGCTCATGCTACTGACCCAGGGGCGTTGGGGACAGCATGCTTTCTAAACCTCGAGTTTGAAGGCCTCGGCCCCGAGGAGGCCACTCACTGTGGAAGAGGATCGACAGCGAGGTGGGCGAGAGAGAATCGATACCATACTCCGCACACTTGACATGCCATTGTTGAAGACGGTTACCTGGACAACCCAATACTTAGTATTGAGAGTTTCGCCTAGTTGACTTGGACATGATCATTCGGGCTGCTCCATTTCCATTGCCGACGTCTCTCTGTACTTGGCTCTAGAAAAAATGGAGTGAGGCTCTTCGCTGCGAGGGGGGCGCTCCACCTCCCATGGCCGAAGTCTTCCTGGACTGAGCATTCTTATCAGAAGCGAATCCCTACCCTAGAGCCTCAGGTCGGGGATTTTCTGACCCGGGTAAACCCAGACCCGGGTCAGCAGGAAACCAAACAACTGCAATGCAGAAACAAAAAGCTGCAACGCCGGTCTTCGCAAACCCGGGTCAGCCAATATGCGCGGCCGCCTCGCGGCCACGAGAGGCTCGCTAACCCGGGTCAGCCAAAGGGGGTCTTCGCAGGATCCTGCAGGATCCGGTGCCCTGGCTGACCCCCGTTTGCGTTGACCCCCGTCTCTTGAGCCCTGATCAGGAAGCCCAGGCACTTGCCCGGTCCAGAGCCTTCCTTGCTCATCTCGGCGCGCCGACCACGATGCCTCCGACGTCCTCACCTTTTCAGTCCGCGAGGCGCGCGACGCATACTGCCCCCTGGTGGGGCTCTGATCCCGAAGCGGGCCCCCCGGAAGCCTAAACCTGAAAGCGCCGCCTGCCCCATCGATTGCCACATGGGTGTGCATGTCTAGATGCATATGATCATAGACGTATCCGTGACACTTGCTTTTGGCTGCATGGAGGTCGCGTGTGCTGTGCATCGTTTTCAGCTCGCCAGAGGCCTGAAGCTGCATCGCTCGCTACCTCCTGAGCTTAGCTGCCCCGATACGCAACACGCAACACGTATCGTATGTATACGGAGCTCAACACGTAGGCTGAAACCGTAGGTCCGACGCGGTACGTTCGCCCAAACGTGGTCCAATACGTGGAGCC